GAAAAACAAGGCTGTAGGTGTGGATGGTATACCGCTTGAAGCTTGGCTGTATGGAGGCAGGGCAGTTAGGAAAGGTCTAATAGAGGTTCTAAATCAGGTCTGGAAGGAAGGAATCTTACCAAAGGACTGGAGGACCTCGATCATAGTCCCGCTGCATAAAAGAGGGGACGAAAACATAGTAGGGAATTATAGAGGTATTTCTCTTTTATGCTCGGCTTACAAAATATATGCTGAAATTATCAGAGGAAGGTTAGAGGAATCTGTCGAGCAGAAAGGTTTGCTACCAGAAAGCCAAGCCGGTTTTAGACGTGGTAGATCAACTATAGACAATATTTTTGTGCTGGATCATCTAACTCAGAAGGAAGAAAGGAAGGGTAGGAAAGGCAAAGTTTATGCACTCTTCGTGGACCTGAAGGCAGCTTTTGACAACGTTGAGAGAAGACAACTCTGGAAGATTCTTAGGGAAATGGGAATAGAAGAAGAGCTTATAGGAAAGTTAGAAAGGATTTACGAGATCACAAAGGTAGCGATTAGAACAAAGAAAGGCGTAACGAAGGAATTTTTTATAACAAAAGGAGTTAGGCAGGGCTGTGTTCTGAGCCCGCTTCTATTTAACCTGTATATTGCGGAGATTAGGAAAGCATTAGAAGTAAGAAACATAGGCGGCGTGCAATTAAGAGATGTAAGAGTGTGGTCGTTAGAGTATGCAGACGATATGGTATTTTTAGCAAAGAATAGGGATGCGATGCTAGATATGATGGATACAATTAGGAGATTTTTTAGGAAAAGAAAAATGACTTTATGTACGGATAAAACTAAGATGGTGGTGTTCAATAAGAAAGGTAGGGAAAAGGTAGAAAAATGGAAATGGGAGAATAAAGAAATCGAAGAAGTCAAGACGTTTAAATATCTAGGGTTTGTATTTAATAGGAATGGTAAATATACAGAGCATATTAAAGAGTTGTGTAGGAAAGGCAGGATAGCGGCTAACAGGACGTGGGGGCTAGGAGAAAGAATTTGTAGGAATGATTTTATTAGAAGAGGGATGTTATTTAGATATTTAGTTAGGAGCGTGATTTCATATGGGGTGGAATTATGGGGCTGGGAAGAAAAGAAAAATTTAGAAAAGATATTGTTGGATTACGCTAGATGGGTTTTCAAATTAAAGTTTTGCACGCCGAGATATATAATGTCTAGAGAACTAGGGTTGAGCAAATTAAGGATAGGATGGGGAATTAGGGCTATGAAATTTGAGGATAAGGTCAGGGAAACAAATGAGGAAAGGTGGATTAAAAAGTGTTGGCTGGAGAAAGAAAGTAATGATTGGAACGATAGGTACGGTAAGGAAAGAGAGAAATATTTTAATAGGAACGGTTGGAGTGTTGTGGCGGTGGAAGCCTTGAGAAGGGAGGGGAGAAATTTAGGTAAAGAAATGCGGAAGAGGGATGAGGATGTACAGAGGCAATTAGAGGGAAACAGGATTTTAGAGGCAAGGTATAATAAGAAATATAAGGAGCTAAGTATAGATTTGGAAGGCCCAAGTTACTTAAAGTTGGATAATTTAGACAGGCAGGGTCTCGGGGATAGTATCAGAGCGTTGTTAAATTTAAGATGCGGGAACTTAGAATCAGGTAACAGATATTGGCTAGATGAAGAGAAACAAATGTGTATTTTTTGTAATGAAGGCAAAGATAATATGAACCACTATGTTGAAGATTGCGTTAAGACAAAGGAATGGTTTACAGTATTAGGAAAGGATAGTAAAGAAAGGTTGGAAAAACTTTGGAATGATAAATTGGACACCACCAAAGCGAAGGTATTGTTGAAAGTCGTTAGGGAAAGGAATGCGAAAGAAAAAGAAGATAGATATAGAATGTCATTAGGCTGTGAGATAGGCTGTGAGGATAGAAGATAGTGCAATAAGATATAATGGTATAATTTATAATAGGATTTTGGATATTTGTGTATGCGTGGATTGAATGCAAGTATGAGTGATTAAGGATTGATGTAAACCAAGTCCACTTTCTGGCTGTATTGCTAAAGTTAATAAACATATATATGTAATCGTTCCGCAAGCGAACCGCAGTCTAAACTTTGCTCGCTCAACATTTGAAGTTACGCCACGGCGAAAATAATGCAGAAAATAGGTGATGCGAAGCAAACGACGCGATAACGAAAACGTCAACAACTGTCATTTACCAAGTCATCGATCAGTTGAAATTGACCTATAGACTATTATCACATAAATATGATTTAATTTTTGCCCTTTCGGACATGAAATTACAATTAACTGTACAAAACCAAAGTGACCGCGATGTAATTATATTTCGCGTTATTTTATTCGTATTTTATTCCGCTTCGATCACTTTATTTTGATTCCAATATATATGTGTCTAATGCACGATGTATCTTTTACGCTTTATTAATTATTGTTATATTATTACATAAAAGTAAGCACGACTAAGAACGCTTTTTAAAATTGCGCAATTTTTTAGATAAATTCTGTTAGACTGAAAATTCCGACAGCTGCAAAATTTCAATATGCATCCAGGGTTTATTGCAAAAAGAAAATTTGGCCTCTCTTGAATTTCATTTCATTTCAGATATATATCCAGAGTTTATTGCAAAGAGAAAATTTGGTCTCTCTTAAATTTCATTTCACGTAATTTCCTTCCTTCGACACCGTGACGTCACATATAGCGGCGAATGGTATCCCGAGCTTTAATGCACTAAAACCACGGTGTCGCGCGCTTGATTTCCCTATTTAGCTTATCGCGGGCCTTTGTCACAGACACTAGGAACACTGTGAGCGCGCTGCCTCGTGATTTTGCACGTAGCAACCTATCCGTTGCACGTGAAAGAGGAAGGGAGGGACGTTAGATTGCGGATTGCAGTCGCAGCGGTGGCCGGCGGCAGTCCCGGAAATTGCAACTGCAAGCGGACCGGCTCGTAAACTCGGGAAATTCGCTGACGCTCTCTCGTTGCGAGAGGAGAGGTAGAGGGACGAACGAAGCGCATCAGGAGGCAACCGAGAGGAGATGTCGTCTTGCGTGGATCAAGTTTCGTCGTAATTTCTTGCCGCGTACTTTGCTCGTAAACCTTAAGTGAATTAGAACGCAAACGTGGTTCGGGAAACTTGTCATGTTTCATGTCGAGGTTCGATTTTCGATTTTAAGGGTCGCCGTAAAAGAATTGAGGCAATTTCCTGAAAAAATTAGCCCGCCTTCTTGGAGAAACGTGAAAACGAGAGAAAATGAAATATCTTGGAAAGAATAATTTACGAATGAAAAAAATTTTAAAAGATGGTAAATTCATGATTACGTAACAATGTCGAGTTTCTTCAAGCATAGAATTACTAGAAAAATTTGTCTTCAAAATTCTAGATTTCTAGTTGGTTTCGAGTTTATAATTTTATTAACAAACTTCATGATACACAATAATGTGAAATTTCGAATTCTATTTTTTTCTTTTTTTTAGGGCGTTTAGCATTCAAGCAAACTGCTGTTGCAATTGAGTTAAAAGATACATAGCCTCATCCTAGATCTAGAATTAAGGAAAAATATTGATACAAAGGTGCAGTAAACGCTCGCGGCATGAGAAAATCGCTTTTAAAGTTCGAGGCCGTGCCATTACATCAAATTTCCTAGGAAGTCTCTATATCGAGAGGTCGGGAAATTTTTGCGAGATGAGCAAGGGAAACGCCGCCGGATGGATCGGCATCCGGTTTAATTCTCGGAGATTCTTCGATCGAGTCGTTACACAGGATGTATCACAGGATCCTTTTCCTGACTTTCCACTATTTAATACAACTCTAATGGTATTAACTTTATCGAATTCGGCTTTGTCAGCAGTTCTCAGATTATTTTAACTGTGGTTATTTTACCTAGTTTTTACTGAGCAAATATTTTTTTTTCTTTATAAGTCTCTACTGATTTTAATCAAAGATTTAACTCAAATTTTGCGGTGGAATCAGGATTTTATTAAAAATTTTGTAATCATGAACGCATAAATTATGTATCCAAAATGATTATTAAGCATTCCCCATTTAGTTTTTGTTAACAAGTGAATATTTGTTTTTCATATTTAACGAGAATTTTCAGAAATATTTACATTCATGTACGTGAAGTAATTTATTTAACATAGATTAAATCAAAGCTTTTATTTTTTTACTTCAGCGATATTTAATTATGAATTTACCGAAAAAATTATGTAATTTTTTTCTTCTATTATACATTGAATAAATTAATTTGTTTCTACGATATTATTTACGTACAAATTAATGAAATATACTTTATTATTTATTAGTCTTGTAAATAATGAAATTGAAGATAGTCGAAGGATCGTCCTTAAAGGGAAATTCTTTCCAAGATCAGAAGAAGCACAACTAAAAGCATTCATATACCCTGCGGTCTCCTCGGAAATAAATGTAATTCGTTTTGCAAGCAATTTGAATGTAAATGACACTATTGCTGTATACTTGATAATTGAGTTAGAAATTCTGTTCCTCGAAGCACAAATCTCTGTCGCGATTAGACGGTCGAACGGTCTTCTAATCGCTCTCTCAATTACGGAGGCGTTGCACAGTCAGCCTTGTAATAGCTGCGTGTAGTTGCTGCGATGTGCAATCAATAGATAATAATTGGATGCGTACGTGTTACGCAGGAAGCGATATACTCCCGAGCTCGACATTAACTTTGGAATCGCTAATGTAAATCGATCGCCAGCTATAGCATTAATACGGTTTTACGATTAATATATCAGATTAAACGCGAAAGACGCGCGCGAGAGGAAGCAAAGCTGTGACATCTATCATCATGCAAATATTATCACTGCAATGTACTTACAAAATAGCACCGCGATAATCTGCACAACCACTTTTCCTTGAAATGTCATCATCGATCAGGCCAAATGCCTGCTTTTTGTTGCATCTCTTTAATGTAATTTTTAACGTGTTCACACGCATGCTAGTATTTCTTATTTCTTCTTTTCTTGTATTACAGATACGCGGATCGCTCGTACAGAACCCACCCGCGCGGTTTGATCATATACGGTCAACCTACCATCGTACCGAGTTTAGCCGCGGGTGGCAATGTATCCTCGACGACGCTACTCACAATATTGGCCAAGGGCCTCACGAACGCGTCCAAATCCGAGACGGTGCCGGTCAGAAACCTGGTCGCCGGCAGTGGAACCACGCGAGAGCTTCCGGTGGCAAATGCGACTAGCAACGCAACGATGCCACGGTGTCCCCTTATCCCACCGAATTTGGGTAAGTGAAAAAATTGGCGGAGATATTGACCTGTAATCAGTAGGGAGGATTTTTTAAAAGCAAAATTACAACCCGCGTATCGCGAAATTGCCTTGAAACTTTGTTTTACGGTTTTACCACGCTTGAATTCGGGAATGAAAAATATCGTGGTAAACAAATTAATATGCAAATATTACAAATAGAGATATACATATAGCGAATTCGATTGGACTCACTAGTGCGCACTCGGTGCGCACAAGCCGTTGTACACTGATTTAATTTATAATATTTAAAGTAAAATGCAAATATTTTGATTGATTTGACTGAAATGCCCAATACATATTTTACCAAATAGTACAATAAAGATGAGGATTTTGTGATTTAACCCGTTTATATTAACCATTCATTTTATACATATATATACGTTGATTCGTGTACAACGGCTTTAATATACACTGAGTGCGCACTGGTGCGTCCAACCGAATTCTCTAATAGACAATTTATTAATAATCGCTCGATATCTATATTAGAAATTGTGACGTTTGCGTTCTTATTTATAGAAACAACAAATACGATAAATTTATTGGTAATATTTTCTTCCGTCGCGTTTCTCGAATTACTCCCGCCTCTTTAATTTATCATTTCATCGGCCATCTATTCTGTTCGCAGTTGGACCGGTGGTCGTTAGTAAGTCACCGCCACTGTTGTCCGAAATGGAGAAGTCATTCGTGGAGGTGAAGGCGGGCGGCACAGGTCGGCCCGCAGACTGCGTCGCCAGGCATCGCGTCGCCATAATCATTCCATTTCGCGATAGACCGCAGCATCTGCAGACCCTCCTCTACAACCTGCATCCGATCCTGCTGCGACAGCAGATCGATTATCAGATCTTCGTGATCGAGCAGGAAGGTAAGCGAGACTCGTGTGCGTCGCAATTAAATTGACCGGTCGCATGTTTGTTTCGCGAAAATCTTGGAGAACACTTTGATCCCTTTGCGAAACTGATCTCGACAAATAACCCGATATTAATCTTTACACGTTGATGCGGTTGATGATTAATTTAATTAAATATAATACCGAAATTGATGGGTTTCGTGGTGAACGTCGATATAATTTTCAAAAACAATTAAAATTAAACTATCATAAAGATGATAATAATTTTTGTTAAAAAGAAGGGATTATATATATATATAGCTTCAAGTCGCTGGCTGAACGATATTTCGGTATATGTCGGGAATCGTAAATTCTTATTCACCCTGAGCCATCCCGAATATATGCGACTGACGTGTGCATTCCGGTGTTTCGATAACATCCGTCGGAGCACACGGTTTGTTTCCGTAGAGCGGAATATAAACGTACGATCTTCCGCGAGCCTCTTCTCCTCGCTGGTGCGTGTAAGCCGATACTTTGCTACGATTTATTGCTGTCTAGCGGACGTTCCTCTTGCTCCCGTATTTTCCTGCTTGTCCCCCCCCTGCCCCGAGCGGAGATCCTCCTACCGAGAGGAAAATGCCGGGCGGAGAGAGCAAGAGTCGGGAGACGTTCGTATATACGAAAGAGGCCGTTACAAAGTTTCCGTCGTAGCCTCTAAGCTCTCCGACTTAATTTTTAATTAAATTTGTGTACGTCCTCTTATATCTCTCGCTCTTTCACCGACTCGACCCTTCTACGACTCGAGTAATCGACCGACCGTGCCAACGCATGGACCTCTCGAGAGAAACGACGCGAGATAATTTCACCGACACGGCGCGGCGCCCGCGCCGCTTAAATTTTAATGAAATTTTTTTAAAAACCTTTAGAATTCATAATATAATTCTCTCGCGCGGGTGTAGTTATTTCTGTCAGTTTATTTAATGACGGCCATATGCGAAGATACGGTTTCGCAAAAGCGTCTTTTCTCAGGTCGCTCCGACATCGGTTTTGCATCGTATAATTACATATTTCTTAAACCTTAATCACCAGGTTATGAATTATGTTATGAGCTGCTTTTACGACGCTCTGCGAAGTCGGTTGATGATTACAGATCGCTATACCGCAGTAACATGGAAAAGGGATGAAAGATGGGGAAGATAAACGTTACGAGTATTATCTCCAATTCATGAATGAAAGAAGTCTTTAAAGCGTGATATATATTCCAGAATTCTTCTTCCTCCAATTATAAATATAAATTGCCCAATATAAATGACGCCCAATATAAATTGTATCAAAGATTACATCAATTTTATATTGGTTAAAAGAGCGTCTTGACGATAATCGAAATCGTGGTCGTATTGTCTTAGCGATTATAATGGCCAGTAGAGTTGATTAATAAATCTTCTATATTACTCAAATACAAATAATTCGTTAAATATATTTTCTCTGTATTTAACATTATTATATTTATTGATTTGCAGAGATATTTATTATATTTATAATTAGATATAATTATAATTGGGGGAAGAAAAATTCTATAATATATATCATGCTTTAAAGACCTTTCATTCATGAATTGGAGATGATACTCGTAACGTTTATCTTCCCCATCTTTCATCCCTTTCCATTGTTGCTTATTATTTGACTGACGAAGTAAAAGTGATTTATTCTGATAGAAGATTTAATTAACAAATTATAAATACATGCTTAATTTCAGATAATTCTTGAAAATATTATACAAAAGCAAAATCTGTTCGGTTTGTTTCTAAGCAACTTGTTGGTTGATATCAGAGATATCAGAGTTTTGAGTAGGTAAGAGAAATGCAAAGAAAATTATCTTACGGGCAGATAGTAGCATTTTCTTCGGCCGGGATGCAGAATCTATCATTCTATTCAGTCACCCAAGAAAATGCGATTTATCTCGGCTATTGAAGGGCTGCGAGAGCAGGCTCGCACAATTTATCTTCATTAAAATTGCTCGACTAAGTTTGTTTACTTACCGCGTATGCGAGACGTCAAAATATGACTGTGATTAATTCTCTTGTTATTCCACGCAGCGCTTCTGTACACTTCCGGTCTGTGTATATGATGGCACAATGAAATTACATGCGAAGGAAGTTTCGTAACAATGTGAAACAAATTTGTCGCTAGATAATATATCCGATTCGTCATTGAATTTGATTTTACCACGTTGCGTATTTCGCGAATCTCTATCGCGTATGTATGTATCGGCAGAAAGCTCAAATACGAACAATTCTTCTGGGAAAAGCGGCGTACAATTAACGTTAATTTGAATGAAAGTAATATCATCTTTGCTGATATTAAATTGAAATTGGAGAAGGAATATGTTTTGAAATATCCTAAGTTCTTATTCACATTGAGCGGGGAGAATTTAAAAATCGTATTTAAAATTCACATATCGTTTCTACGTTTGATATCTTCGTTTGCCACTTCAAACAACGATCTCAAATCGGTTTAACTGAGCAATATTACTTCCGGCGCGCGTCCATTTTATCATACATTCAGAACGTCTCTCGAAAATGTCGGTGCAATTTAATATGGTTTCCGCTGGAAAGTTTCGAGTGTGGAATTCCTGATGGAATCCCAAATCGGATTTTATTCGCGTTTCTCCGCTCGGTATGCAAATGAATATACAAAAAAGAAAGAGAGACAGTAGTTGTTTCGCAATTTTTCAACGCGGTCGCACGTTTTGTGGTGAAAAGCATTGAATGAAAATACATTATCGCATCGATATTCATGAAGAAAAATATGGCAAATATACGTTAAATAATTTATATTGAATAATAATTAATGTAAGGTAATATTAATGTAACAGAATAATCATTTATTTTCCTGTAACTTTAATTCCTCGTAATATTTTCTCTAAATTAAAAAAAATGAAAAACATTTTTATTATAGAAGTATTTAAGAATCTTTATTTATTATTAATTTTCGACAAGTCGAGAACCAATTTTCGAAATAATTTAATGAAGATTGTATTCAAAGATCGTGAAAAAAATTGTATAGCTTTTACTGCAGAAGCATTTAAAGTTGATTGCTATTACGGCCCAATTTACGTTAATTTACTACAAATTGCCGATAAATGAATCCTCTCGTGATAATTTAATAAGGATTATACAATATGCGATTACCACCCTCCTGCAATTTTCCCGAAGCAAATAAAGAAGGATATTCCTCGTCGTCGTCGTAGAATTATTTCAATCGGATCGCTATTATGTCGTAATGACGTTAATTTACGGCAGATCGCCGGGCAATGAATTCTCGTGATAATTTAACGAAGACAATATTTCACTGGCGCCGGCGCGATTAATTACGGCGAAACAGCAACGATTTATTCTCGCCCGTTGCGTTGCGCGCGATTCCTTAGAAAATGCGCCGAACTGTTACTCACTGTCAGACTACTCTCGAAAAGCCCGTGTAAGTCAGGCTTAAGTGCTATCTAATCCTGCTGCAAGCCTGAGGGTCTAACTAACATTTTCCCCGTGATTCCCGCAATGCATTGTACTCGAGAACACCACGAGTCACGGTTATTCGTATATGCAACAAAAGCTGCACGTAAAATTCCAACAAAAAACTCATGCCCAATTAAAATTAAAAAATTCACCCTGTTGTATCGCGATATGGTTGTCGCAATTAAAGGATTCTTTTGGGCGGAAGAGAGATATGCAAACGCAGCAAATTTTGTTGATAACGAAAAAGTACATAGCATATTTAGTGTAAAAATAGCAGTAAAAGATGGTATAAGGCGCTATTACCCACTCTCTCTTCCTTCCAGAAGTAACATTTACATCACGTAGATGCAGATGTAGTATTTTAAGTCTAATTATCTCAAATTTACTGAGAACGTTGCGTAAGAATTTATTGAGCCATTATGCTGAAGTACCATAATAAAAAATATGAATTTAAGTTTATTAGTGTAATTTTTTAAATTTTTTAGCCAGTGTAATCTTTTTTTGCAACAAGTGCTAGATAAAACTTACCATTGTAATAATGTCTTGCGGAATTACACCGTCGATCTATATTGGTTTACGTGATGTCTTTCGAAGGTGTAATCACGTAATGGCATCAAAAAAGAATGAACCGAACGATAGGTCATGATTATCGCGAACGCAGCCCGCATATCCGCCATGCGGCATGGATATACCGTTACGATCGCACGTACGTGCAAAGTCACGGCCATTTATCGTCAAGTTGAGCTTAGAGAGGCTTAATCCAACCAGTCGTTCGTCAAGAAGACGATGCACCTGCGCGTTAACTAAAAATCGATAAAATAAAGTAAAGTTTACGTGATGCAGAAATATAAATATAATACGGCATAATAGCGATCCGATTGAAATAATCTACGACGACGAGGAATCCTTCTGTATTTGCTTCGGGAAAATTGTAGGATGCAAAAATAATACGTAAAAAAAAGAAATATAAATTCAATATACATATATCGAGATTATCAATCTTATACTGAAATATACATTTGATAGAATAAAAAATATAATTTCCTAATAGTATATATATACATATATATATACTCGAAATTGTAGAAATTGCTTTCGCACGCGATATTTTCATGAAGGGTGAATAAAGTGAATAAATTTTATATCATACTTTACAATAAATTTATTTGCGCGGACCGGAAACATATCGAATATAAAACGATGCGTATGTGCGTGTGAGTGTACGCGTGTGACGCGCGTGGTGTGTGCGCGCACTTACAAATTAACGCGACTTTAATTGTCCCAAATGGCTCGGACACGGTCGCGCTCGGCCGCAATTTTGAAATTCAAATTCCGAGTGCTCTCTCTATCCCTCTGTCTCTGTCTCTGTTTTCTAGAACTATGCCTCGGTTTGGGATTAAAGCGGAGTCAGCCCACCGAATACTTCACTTTTGCATAATTAGTGCCGCGCTGAATATTTATCGAATCAACGACGGGAGGGGATCGGCAGCGAAGTCGCGACTTCATTTGCAGTAAGCCCAGCCGATCAACTGTGCCGCGCCGCGGATCAGGAAATTAGATTCATGGCGTACTTCCTTCTGGCCCGAACAAAATCAATTTCTCGATACGGGATAAGAGCTCGGGGATATGTCGGAGAGGAGAGTTTCCATCTCGAGAGTGGCGCTAATCTCGCGAGTTTTCTCGATATTTCATATCCTTCCCGTTTTACGATTGAATTTTTCCTCGAAAACTAAATTTGACAGGAAAATACAGGTAACAAATACAGATAATAAAATACTCGTTCGTTCTTTTCATAATATAGAGGAGGATAATTATTTATAGGGATAGCAATAAATGTTGACGTAGTGTAGAAATTGTCTGAATAATACTTAATTTTACATCTATAGATCGATATTACCTGGATATATTGAAATGAATATTAAATGGGAATGGACATGTATACATTCATCCATTTATTACAAAATAAACAGCTATTTTTATAGTTTCAGCAATTTGTCATTTTGTATAAATTATGTAAATATTAACTTTGAATAAATATGTCTAGATCAGATAGTAGATTTAAATGGACGCGGATTTAAATATACACCGCCTGGATATAATATTCACAATTTCAGTCGTCGTCTGATATTAGTTTCGTGAAACAGAAGTGCGGAAGAGCAGCGAACGTTCCTCCGTGAATGTCTACTACCGGAAGAGGGGCAAGATTATCGAGGCGGGCAACTCTCTCGCGGACAATTAGTCGCACCTGTCGCCAGTCGCCGCGGCTTCGGGCACTCTCGCGATACAGAAATCCGCATATTAATAACGCGCTAGATAGAACTGTCGGAAGCACCGGCCTGCATCCGCACTCTTATTATCGTAACTGTATATACAATCATTAACGACGATCGTCCGGTCATCGATATCGAGGAAATCCGCCGTATCTCCGTCCATAAGCTCGATTATTACGATGAAAAACGCGATCGAGTTTTTTCTCGTGTTGGCGAGATGATGGGAAAAGACAGACTGCGAGACGACTGTGAGATGTCATTATAGTGAAATCTCTTGAATTCACGCAGGAAATTGCAATTTTTGTTGCACTCTTTTACTGTACTCTATTAGAAACGATTTTTCATGATTGACTATGATAAGTGATGGTTTCTATAAAATTATTTCGTTATTTCGCACATTGTAATAATTTCATCGAGTGACGCCTTCGGTTCGGATCAAAACGCGAATTCATGTGAGAAATATCGCGCACGCAGTTTCAGTGTGCTGTTGCAAAAAATTGTGAGAAATTACTTTACCAGCGATGGAAGTAACGAAAGCTGAAACACGTCGGACGCGAGGAGAACAACGTGGAATATTCCGGGAATTTAAATGTATACGGACGTATACCTACCTACAGCCGGAGATACAGATAGACGCCCGCGATGACGGCGCGCGTCCTTTTCTCCGTTCTGCGAACAAACGTGGCAGCGCATAACTTGATATTGCAGACACAATTCTTTCGGATGAATAAATAAGCGGCGTTCCTCTGCGAAAACGGATATATGGAAATGAATCAAGTTCGTCGCTAGTTGAGAGCGGTGTCTGTCGGGGACGACTCGGATACGATCTTAATTTTATCAGCATCGCGGGCGAAAGATGTTGATAAACATTTAATCGTCCGTTCGCCACCATCTCGCCGCACTTCCTCACGCCGCAACACGTTCTCATGCGTTACATTAATAATTACGGGATTAAATGACGATAAATTGATGGGAATGAAAGATAATAGCAACCAATGGAATTTCATTATTGGATA